CCAAGTCCGCAGGCTCAGAGGCATACCTGATACTGCCACATGGACATCTAAGACCAAATGCTCAAAACCCAATCAGTGGTCTCAACATCTAAGACCTACTACTTATCCATTGCCCTCTCTTCCTTGTGAATGGTACCAACACCTGTCCAACCATACAAGCCAGAGACTCAGGACGCCTTGGTCAACATTGCTTGTGGAGTTTTACTTCCTATGACCTCTCAAATGCATAGCAACCTTGGGACTCTCTGCTGCCACTCTTGTCTGAGAACTGTCATTTCCTCACTTGAATTCCGAAGTCTACATACCAGCTCTCATTTCTGGATCATCCCTCCCATCACTGAATGGTGATGCCCAATTGTACATCATGTCACCCTTACCCTTCTCCATCCACTGGCTCTGAGCTAGAATCTGGTAGTGACTTCCTAATCTCTTAAAGCAGGTTCTTTTATGTGCTGCTGGACATCCCTGGGTTTGGGCCGGGTCACATCCCTGCTCCTCTTCATTTGCTGGGCTCCAGCCATCCTGGATTTCTTCTCTCACTCTTTTCACTTTTTTTAAATTCTTATTTTAGGTAATTGTGTATCTCACCTGCATTTATGTCTGTGCATCACAGCCATGAAGTGCCTGTGAGGCCAGAAGAGGGCGTCAGATCTTCTGGAACTGGAGTTACAGACAGTTTGAACTGCCAGGTGGATGATGGGAACTGAACCCAGGTCCTCTGGAAGAGCAGTCAGTGCTCTTAATTTCTGAGCCATTTCTCCAGCTCCTGGTTTGCTTTTTTCTTTTACACTTACCTTATTCCAAGTCTTCCTACCTTCAGGCTCATACATATTCTTCCAACTCTCTTTGGATCTGTCTAACAACCTAGATCTGCTAGGTCATAGCTCAACCTCATTTTACAGGGAGATGGCATGATCTCCCCAAGTGGTCTCCTTCGGGGCCCTCCCATAGACCCAGGTTTATAGTGATGTTCTTTTGATGGCTGTCTCCTTCAAACCCTTAAGTTCTGCATCCAGAGACCTGTCCCACCCCCAGCACAGAGCCAGGCACAGGGTAGTCCCAGCAGAAATACTTACTGAATGACTAAATGAAAGAAGACATTGTGTTGAGTTCTATTGGTAAAAGATGAGTAAAGTGCAGAAGTTCCAAGAAAGCAGCTCATAAATTGAGTGGGAGGAGAGACAAACAGATGGGAGGACAAATAAACAAGACCCAGGATGGCTTAGCATGAGAAACTGGCCAGCCTTCCAGTGTTGCCTAAGGTTAGCGCCTACTCCAGGCTAAGCTCAGTTTGGGTGTCTGTTGACCAGCTTGCCAACCTTTGGAACCCCAAGTCACCAGAATCTTGGCATCCTGGGAATGGTCTGTCATGCAGTCACCACTGGGTCCCAGCCACGGCAATGCTGACCCATACTGACACTATGCTCAGGAGCAGAGTGGGCACACTTGAGAGGCCCTGCAGGTAAGAGCGTTGTGTGGAGAGCATGGTGGTGTTCAGAAGACCCCATCATATCCTTAGACCAGCCCTAGGGAAGCATTGAAAGGTAATAGGTTGCTTCTCGATGAACAACTGGGGACACGGAAGTCAATAGCAATCACTTGACTTGGCTGAGGGGATGGGAACAGCTTAGGGACAGAGAACTTGGAGAAAACCTAAGGTCTGACCAATGGACAGAGGGCATGCTGCTCTGGAGCCTGTCCTGCTTATCCATTTTGGAGCATCTTTCGCAACTATAGAATGTTCAAGTAGCTAAGCTGCTGAGATACCTGATTCACTCCCCTTTTTGTACACAGAAGGAAACTTTTCTGCTGCCTTCCCTTCCATGTACCCGCTTCCATGTGGTAGACACTGTTAGCAATCTACCCAGACCCCTCCTCTCCTCTTTGCCTCTGTGTCTAGGCTAGATTCCCCAGCTTCCTTCCCAGCTGGGTGAAGCCCATTGTCGTGTTCTCCCTAGTGGAGTAAGAGGAAGTGGGGCATGCCCCCTCCCAGGCCTGGCTCCTCAGAGTTTCTCCTGCTTACCTCAATGTTCTTTTCACCTCTGGCTCATGGGAACACTGAATCCCAAAGCAGAGTTGGAAGCCATGGATTGTAGAATGGCGATTGCACATCCCTAAAAGACTTCGAGAAAGAGCCACCTGGTAGACCTCACATCAGTGTGAAAGGCTTTTAGGTGAACATGAATGAAACATCATGGGGTTACACTACCGAGTGAGGGAGTCCTATTTGTTACTGCAAACCAAGGCGTGAATGCTTCTGTAAACTCTTTGACTCCATGTAGTGTCCAGAGATAGAGGCACCGGATTCCTGCTGTCTTCCCTGGCAGCCACATGGTGTGCCCTCATACCTCCTTCCGCAGCCCTAGCCCATAGTTCCCTCGGATTTGGCCTGAGATGTTTCATTCTGGATCAATAAACAGACTCCCAACACTGAACTACATCTGTGAAGCCATCTTCTTATACTCCTGGCTCCAGAGAGACACTCTTCTAAGTCATCTGAGATGATGGGGACTCTTGTTGTCACAAAAGGCAGCGACTAGAAGGATTGCTGGTGGCATTCTTCAGATACCTGCCTGCCAGGAAGGGCCAATTCCCTTGGTGTAGAGCTTTGGTTATATACCTGAGTCAACACTAACCTCCAGGCTTCTCTAGTCCCTAGCAACAGGTCCCTGTTATGAATATCAAAGCCCGCCCCCCACACTAGCCTTCTGGCCCTGCTCACCTCCCCCTCCACCATGCTCTCCTCCCACCCTGCAGCTTCCTGTCCTTGGCGAGCTTTTCCCACTCTTGCTTCTCTCCCTGATCTTCTTTCCCACTTCCCCCCTCTGCTCCCAAGGCCAGTGTTCTCTTCCTTCACCCCTGCATCCCCGAGAGGCAGCCATGGCTGCTTTGGACTCCCCGAATACCTCTGGTTATTCTTTCTTTCACATGTACAATACACCTTTCTTTCAGCTGCACCCACAGAATGGTCCGGTTTGGTGGCTCGACTGTGCCCCCACTTCTCAGGCCTCAGGCACCTGTTTCAACAGCTTTGCCCCTGTACCTTAAAGCATGGGGGACAGGACACTTCTTAGCAATCATCTAGGACAATCTGTTTTATAGATGAAGTATGGCACAGGTTAGCTGAACAGTGGTAAAAATCAGGAAAAGAAGCAGTTTCTAAGACCAGGCTGACTACTGTTTGCAAGTTTCTGTCCTCAGGGTGGAGATGAAAAAGTTCTAGGACCCATCTACATGGTGGTCAACCTTTGCAGGTTTCTCCCATGTCTCCCCTTTATCCACTGGCTAAGCTGGCAGTTACTCTGAATGTTCATTGACTTAGATGGTAGAGAGATTTGAGAGATAAACCTGATGCTTAGGGGAGAGGCAGGTGGCAGGTACAATGCCCTGGGTCTTTGGCAGGAAAGGGAAGATTCCCAAGTGAGTTAGTTGTCTGAATGCACTCGAGAAGCCTGGACAGTCTTTTAACCCCTTAAACCCCTTAAACCTGCCTGCCTGCCTGAAAGGGTGACTTGGTCTTTGCCTAGTCTTCCTTTCTGTTGAAGGGAGGGAGCTGCAGTGACCGGAGCCCCTGAGGACAGTGTACTGGCCTGTTGGAGCTTGTCTAGCTGGGCCTGGGCTGCTGCCTTTTAACAAGAGCTGTGCCCAGAGATGTTGAGTTCGGTCCATGCTTGAACTGACTGACTGACTGACTGACTGACTGATTGATTGAGAGGTCTGAACACTTCATGAAACTTAGGTTTCTTTTGTGGCTCATGTGTATAAGGCAAGCTCGTTTATATGGAGCATCCTTTGTTTTCTGCCAAATGACTCACTTGTACTGAGTCACCAGAAATGGGTCTAGGCCCATCTGCAGCCGCTCTGGACATTATGATCTGCTAGGTTCCCTGGAGGTGGGTCATGGAGGCAGGGAAATGGGGAAAGAGACATGCCCATTTTCCTGTGCATTTGGTAAACAGACAAAGGACCCCAGAGCATCCTAAGGGAGCTGTGGTTTTCATTTTGGTTGAGACATTGAATTATTGACAACTCCAAACATGGTCATTCAGTGAGAAACCCTTTAATTGGTGGGTTCTTCTACAGACTTAAGCAAGTTGTTCCCCCCATTTTAAGCTGCCCTTTGGCAAAAATTGGGTCCCAAATTTTGGACATTGTATCATTTGTCTTCTGGGGGCAAATACACACACAGAACTCTACTTACCAAGCAAATTTATTGACACCCAGTCCTGGAACATCTTCCCTAAAGGTTTCATTTTAACTTCAGTCTAAGCTGTGTAACATTTTTAAGTTGCAAATTGCTGTCTTTTTCCTAGCTATGTGTTTGCCCTTCCCCCAGCTTCAGTTCACAGTTTTCTTTTCCCTGTGGCCTGTTTGAGTGTCCCAGCAGCGACATCTCCACAGAACTCTGGTGTAAGCCAAAGACAGTAACAACATGGGAAGGGAATCAGGCTTATGAACCCTAAAGAAGATGAGGGTTCCCTCCTCAGCACCTAATGTGGCTGACACAAGCTTATCACTAGCACTGGGGACCCAAAAAGGCAGAAGTGGGTAGGGCCTCTTCAGATCTTTAAGGGCAATGCTGGTGGGCGCATGGTGCCCAGCAGGGCCAAAGCTCCACTTCTCTGTTCTCTGAACGCATGCTGTATACTCACCTGGTATCAATTACATTGCCAGGACCTACTTTTCACAGACCTACTGTGTGGCCAAGGAGCTGCGAAAGTGGCCCCACCTCCTACCCGATTCCATTCCTCTAAAATCCAAAGCGATGCTCCAGGGCGTGGGCCCATAACAAAAGTTGTGCAGGGGCTCCATGAGCTCACCCGGGGGTTCCATGCGCTCACCCGGGGGACCCAGGCCGCCCCCGCCTTCTTCCTGCCCTCTCCCCGCCCCGTGGCCCCCGCGCGGGCGGGTGATGTCAACCGAGGAGGAGCCGCCCGCCCCGCGACCCGCCCGGGTTGATTGGCGTGTGTGGTGGCGCCGGGGCCGCCTCTGCCCTCCCGCGGCTCACACAACTTTTGCGGCTGGGAGAGCGCTCGTACCCCGCTCCTCTCGCCACCGCCCTCCGCCCGGCATGTGAGCGCGGGCGGCCGCCGCCACCATGGCCTCGCCGCGCGCCCCGCGGTGGCCACCACCGCCGCCGCCGCTGCTGCTGCTGCTGCTACTGCTGCTGCTGCCACCGCCCGCCACCCCCAGGGCGCGGGGCCCCCTTCTCTTCCCGGCCAACCGCGCTCTCCTCCCGGCCGCGGGGCCGCCTTCGCCGCCTGGCCTCGGACACACGGCCCCCGGGCCCGGCGTCACCACCCGGCGGGGACGTTCTGGTCGGGTCCCCAGAGGCGTGAGAGCGGGTGAGTGAGAGCCACTAGCGTGGGGCAGGGGGCGTGGGCGCTCCGGGGATAACCCACCGGAGTGTGGCTCCGTGGACCCCTGCGGGTGGAACTGTGAGAGTGTCCGGGAGGGAGAGATGCTGTCCCTGGCCACTGGACTAAGGTGTACTCATGCATTTGTCACGAGCTTTGGAAGAAAACTCTCTCATGGGATAGCCCACAGCCATGTCCCTTTTACAAACAAAACAAAAAGACCCCCAAAGTTCCTCTCGCACCTCGCGGGGTGGCAACTTCTGGCTACTGTCCTTCGGTTCCACCCTTTTCTCCCTGGATAGATGGAGAACTGGTCTCTCCAGGTCCAGAGCCTGACTTTCCAGTATAAGTAAATAACGGATTTCGGAGTTTGAAAGGCTTCTAGCACTTAAGATATGGTAAAGGACAAAGGGTGCACTTTAAAACAAAACCTAGTCAACCTTAAGAGCGGGGGGGGGGGGGTACTTGGAGTGGGGGTGGGGGGCTGAGAGATTGAACTCCTATAAGACACTAGGGACTGTCCCCAGCCCTTCCCTCCCCAGCCAGCTGCTCTGCAGGCAGGCACTGCTTGTCTTGTCACAGAATGGGAGCCCAGCTCCTGTCCCTGCTCTCTTTGTTTCTAGTTCCTTTTTTCTGGTGAAAGAAAATGTCATGGCCTGGGTGGGATTCTAAAGTAATGCCCTTATAACCTCGGCAGTGTCCTGTCTTTGGATCTCAGTTTACCCATCTGTGAAATGGAAGGACCCAGTTCCTCCTAGCCTTCTGGTGATGATGTGACAAAATGAAAGTGAAAATAATAGAAAGTGCTGGGAACAGTGTCTAGGTACTGTTAGCGTTTCAACTTCCCACGGGAGGTGCAGGACACACGCTGGGCTCTGTTGTTGCTACAGGGCTGGGATTGGCAAGATTTTGTCCACTTTTCAGTACCCTTGTCTATTTTACATGTTTCACAAACTTTCCTCCAACTTGGTCATCCTTGGAACATAGAGATATTTCCTAGAATTGAGTAAGAGTTTTCTACCCTCATAAAATCTCAAGTGCAAGTTCAGTGGTACTCTTGCCTTCTCAGACTGCCTAGTCCTTGTGAACTTCTGGGTCACTGGCTCAAGACAGGGAAACTGAGGCACTGTGAGCCAAAGACGGGGAGCAGCTCTGAAGGGCCATTCAGACGTGTGCTGTGCAGCCCCCTGTTTAATTGACTTCCAGAGAAAAGAATTAAGAGCTTAGAAGACATTTGCTGGCTTTCTCAGTGTAGAAAAGTAACTGGCAGATCCTGTAGGGCATTTTGTAGAATGTTCTAGATACAGTGGTATGTAGAGAACTGATAACTCAGAGGGCCACTCATGAACCCAAGGCCGGTGTCAGTAGCTAGTGCTCAGGCTGAGGGCTCCATCTGGTGAGGGTGCTGTCTTGGGAGGTCCAGCTTGAGGAGGCTGACACAGGACTCTCCTTCCTAAGGCAGGAATCTCCCTGGCTCACGTGCAGGTGAGTATAGCAAAGGGGCTCTAGTGGCAACTGAATGGGGGGAAATAAGGTAAGAACTGAGGCTTTAAAGAGCCATGCTTTCATGCTTCCCTTGTTGCCATGGCCTTGGCTTTGCAGCCTTCTCTGTTTGTTTCGGGGATGAGCAAGATAGAGGCTTCAGGGAGAGGAGGAACCTAGAGAGGAACTGGAATAATCCAGATTTTCCTGAGGAGGTCTCCTGATCTCCTGGTGCCCCAGTAGACCATTGTCCATGTGATGCCCACCCTCTGTTGTCCTAAGCCCAACCTGGGTCAGGGATGTTTGAAGAGTAAGATTAGAAGAGGTGAAATCCATGACCCGTTGAAAACTGCTAAAAGTTATCAGTGTGGCTGAGGATCCAGGCATGGCTTCGGTCTGGTTTCTACTAATGCCTCAAACAATGTCACTTTGGAGAAAAAGGAAACAACAAGCAAACAAAAACAACACAGTGGCAATCCATTACTGATTCGGTGAGCCAGCTTTTTACAGCAACGTCTGAAGATTTTTCCGAATGGGCACCACACGCCACTCTGTAAGAAGACTAAGCAAGATCTCACATCTGCAGAAATTCTGGAGTCCTCCACAGACATCCAGCCTCCCTGGTACTGGGACAGATGTCATCCATGCTCCGTGTCCACTCGGTTTGTGGGGAGGTGGGGGTTCCTTTTGGCCTTGAGTCACACAAATAATGCACTTAATCTCATAGTGGGGGAAACTGCCCTGAGCTGCTTCTGGGGTGCTGGTGACCAGTGCCTGGCCATCGTGGTCTGGGCTTCCAAATATAATTATTTCCCTGTGAGCAGCAGGGACTAGAGATTTTTTTTTTTTTTTTTTTTTTTTTTTTTTTTTTACTTCCTAGTGGGTCACTCTAGCTCTTCTCTTCCCACAGAGTTCAAGGTTCTCACGGCTGGGTGGCTGTGTTTGCATTCCATTTGTGGGCTGTTTGACTATGTGACTCTGTCCTCCAAGGAGAGCAGCCCCCCCCCCCCGTTTGGATAGCTATTGTTTGCCTTTCGTGCCCACCTGTCACCCTGTTCTGCTGTGTTTGTTGCTTCAGCCATCAGTGAAAGGGGGCTGAGAGCTAGATGTTTCCTTTCTGTCTCTGTTCCTGTGACCTATGCCCGAGCGCCACAGCTCTGAGCCTAGTCCTGTGTCTGACTTTGCAGTCCACAGGCCATGCTCTTGTGAGATCTGCTGATGGTGGAGGAGGCAGGAAGGTGGGAACGGAGCCTGGACTCATCATGACAACCGCTGCAGAAGGGAAGGGCTTTCCCACCAAAGGGGGAAGATGCTAAGGACTTAAGTAACCAGTCCAAGGAATACTAATCCTAGAAAAATGTGGCTCCCTGAAGGAAGGGCTATGAGCCCAGCCCCTTGTGAGCTGTTAAATGGCTGTTCCCAAATCTCTCTAAACCTTCTGGCCCAGCTTCACCATTTAGCTTGGCTGCCACGGGCACTGTTGCAAGGTAGTATGAAGGCTGCCTGGGGAAGAGGCGCTCTCAGGGACAGGAGAGTGTCTTTCCCCCAGGAATGTGACCCTCCTGGCAGATGCTGAGTAAGAGGTGGTTCCAGGCATCAAAAAGCCTGCTTCTTTGACAGAGGTTGTCATATGTTCACAGAGGTGCCGAAAAGCCACATCCTTTTTTGGCCTTTTAACCTCTCTCCTGCTGCTTGCAGATGCTGACCTTGTGTTTTCTGCACACCAGCTTGTGTGGACTCGTGTGGGCATGCCAGCAGAGCAGTTACTGCCTACTAAGCCCAAGAACAAGGATGGGACCCTGCCTTCCCAGTGGTCTCTCTCTGCTTTCCATTGGCACTGACCAGCAGTCTGAGAGTATTCTTACTCAGAGTCGGAACAACCGTTGACAGTTGCTGTGTCCTTAGCTATGTACTGTCTCCCTCAGCATCTTCCCTCTGCCTGGCATCTTCTCTGTATGAGCAGGATGTTTGAGCTGTAATCAATGCCTTTCTTTGAAGAATCCTAAGGAGCCAACAGGGAAAGAGACTAACTAACTCTTATGCTTGGAGCACCTAGGTGGGGTCTGTGCATTTCTTATCCCATTTTACCCTCCAAACAGTCCTGCCAGGGGTATTGCTTCCCATTTATTTTCCCTTTATGGGAAATGAAGCCTAGCAAGGTTAGGTTGCAAGGGAAAGGAAGGAGGCTGGATTTGAGCTGATTTCAACCAAATTCCCACCATGTTACAAGGTGTATTTGTTACCTGTTGGATGGGGCAACCTTGTTATAGATCTTTAGAGCTGTTCCAGCATACCGTTCTTGCTCTTGCCTTTGCCTAAGATTGGGGAATATGGAGCGGCCATCAGAATGGTGACAGGAGAGATTATTTTTAAAAAGATAATCTAAAAATTATTTGTTTTCATTATTTGTATGTGTGTGAGAGAGAGGGGGAGAGAGAGAGAGAGAGAGAGTTCTGTACAGGTGTGTATGTTTGCACATGAGAGCAGGTGTCTATGCAGACCAAATGTATCAGTTCTGGAACTAGAGTTATAGGTAGTTGTAAACTGCCTGGTGTAGGTTGTAGGTTCTGAGAACAGAGCTCCGGTCCTCTAAAAGAACATTATATACACTGAACCTCTGAAACCATCTCCCTAGCTCCAAGAAGGTAATTTTTAAGATTAGTTTTAGAGCCAAGAGTTAGTGGTGCATGCCTTTAATCCCAGCATTAGGGAGGCAGAGGCAGGTAGATCTCTGAGTTCGAGGCCAGCCTGCTGTACATATTAAGTTCTAGCACAGCTCCCAGGGACCCTGTCTTGAGAATAAAAGTTATTTTTTAGGAGTGGGATGAGGAGGGTTGGGGTGGGGTGTTGCCCATAAAAGGACTTACGTCTACACATGTGTAGAATATGTTATATTATTATGACGTGTGACACACACATGTATATGCCAACCCAGAGGTTACAGGCTCCTGAAGTAGCTACATTCATTACCAACCAAACTGAAATGAACTGCTGACTTTCTGTGGGCTCTTGGCCCGGAGCATGGACGGGACAGTGACTAATGTGGCGTTTGTCAGTTGCTATCAGTACCTGTTCTGTTAAATGGAAAAGCATTCAGCAGTTGTCAAATCACTTTCATTTTAATGTCTCTGCTCCCTCTGGCCACTCACTTTTCATTTTCCCATAGATGTAAACAAAGGGATTCCTGTCCTGTCCCCTTTTCCCAATCCTAAAATAATCTTAAAATCTACCCTGTCAGGGCTGGAGAATGGCTCAGTGATTCAGAGGGCATACTGCTCTTTAGAAGACCTGGGTTCAGTTCCCAGAACCTCACTGGGCAGTTCACAGCTGTCTGTAACCCCCGTTCCAGAGGACCTGATGCCTCTGGCCTCCACAGTCACCTGTACTTATGAGAAAACACACACACACACACACACACACACACACACACACACCAAAAAATAACTAATTTTACAATTATTGTTTTTTTTTTTAAATTCTCTGAAGGTCGTCAGCATCTTGATTAC